TCTCCCTTCACATTCCCCCTACCCTCATGGTATTGCTACTCCCATTACTATTCCTGAGGAGTTTACCTGTCCTGGGTTCTGTGTGTCAAGATTTCTTATCTGTACCAGTGTACATGCTCCAGTCTAGCCGAATTTGTAAGGTAGAACTGGGGTCATGATAGTGGGGCGGGGTGGGGGGTATTAAAGAACTAAAGGAATGTTGTGTGTTCTGTTGGTGCTATACTGCACCCTGGTTGACTCGTCCCTTCCTTTTGACTGTTCTGTGAGCAGATACCCAACTGTCTAGAGATGGGCTTTGGGTCTCTACTCTGACCCTCCTCATTCACATCAATATGATTGTTTGTTTTGGGTCTTCTGATGCCTGATACCTGATCCTGTCAATAACTCATGGTTACACAGGCTGGTGTGCTTCTTTCATGTGGGCTTTGCTGCTTCCCTGCTAGAAGGCTGCTTTTTATCGTCAAGTCTTTAAGAACCCAGACACTGTATCCTGTAATAGCCAGGTACCATAAGCTTTCTAATTTTTTACTATCAGCTTTCTTCACTATATTTGCTTATGCACCCATTTTGTCTTCAGTGATCATGTCAGGAAGGTGAGTATCACTGAATGCCAGTTATTAGAACAAAGTGTTATTGCAGTGAGGAAAGACTTGAGTAGAGGCCCAATATCTGTTTGCTACCTTAATACTTAACATATAAATATATGTACATAATCCTATATCCCTATCATTATATATTAATATATTTACATATATACATGCCTATAATCACACCTCTATAAATGTCTTTTACCTCCCCATTCTTTCCTCTATTTCTCTAAGTCTCAATTTCAAGTAGGACTTATGACCAAATGTATGTGATGTGTCCTTTAAAAACACAAATGGTTTCGTACTATTGATAAATATTTAGATTTCATTTATTGCTATATAAACAATACCATCTATACTTCAGTATGTATAGATATTACATATATATACACATATTTTTGGAACTTGCTTAAATTTACTTGTAAAATAAAATCTTAGAAATGGATTGCTATGTCACCGATTATATACATTTACGATTTTGGTGTTATAATCCTTAGCTGTCATTGGAGTCAGCTCCTAACTTATGGTAACCCATGTACAACTAGAAGCAACGACAGCAATTCACAACCTTCTCCCTCTAGTCCATATTACTATGAACGTGCTGAAACATGTTCAGAATCATAACAACACACAAGTTGGGAACTGAACCTAGGTTTCCCACATGAAAGGCAAGTATTCTACCACTGAACTATCAATGAATGCGTCCACACTATTTTGGTCCAGATCACCCAAGTGCCCTATTAAATGGCTCACCAATTTACCAACAATGTGAATATTCAAAATTTAACTTTTACTAAATTTATAATGTTCATAATAGTGGCAAACAGTAGGAATTTAATAAACATTAGATGGATGGACTGCTATTTCTTAATTAGCCATATATTAAGAAACATGCAAAGGGAATTTATGATATTGAGCAAAAACATACTGGGGGAAAAAAACCAATTCCATTATAGCAGATAAGTAGGGCCAATAGTGTGTGCTTGCATACTTTCTTCCACGCAACCCCCAACATACAACAATATCCAACTAAATCAAATGAACCTATATGCCTGCCCATTTAAGTATAAACTTCTCTTTCTTAGGTGGTTTAAATCATTTTGTTTTATCTTGTTACTTATAACAAAGAAGATCTAATTGATATCTGATGACCTGGATAAATTACATAACCTCTTTAAACCTCATGGTTGTAGCTGGAAAAATCAGAAAAATTTGTAGTTTAAGATACTGGATACATTGGATATTAATCTTGGCTCTGAAAACTCCCTTTCTGAATTATCTTGATCAAGACAGTTTACCTCTCTAAGACTTAATTTCATTCACTCACTGCCACTGAGTCAATGCCAACTTATAATGATCCCATAGGACAGATTAGAACAGCCCCTGTGGGCTTCTAAGACTGTAACTGTATATGGGAGTAGAAAGCCTAATCTAAGACTTAATTTGCTCATCTGTAAAATGGAGGTAAATGTGTAGAATGAGTTAACGTATAAGTCACATCCCAAGTACTCAAATGGAAGTTAACATCATTATTTATACTATAACTCATTAAAAACATGACTTGTAAAACATACAACATTTTAAAGTTCTAAGTTGGTATATAATATTAAAAACAATTTAAAAAATCTCTCACCAAAGTGAAACATATTTTATCAGTAGCACCCAACATTTTCTAAGCATTTAATATTTCCAATCAGTGTGAAGCTCGTATTAAAGTGATCGTCACTAGTAATCCCTTAAGACAATAATGGTATGATCTCCATTTTACAGACAGATAAACAGAATCATACAGTAGTGAAGTGACTTCCTCAGAGTTGGAATACAAACCCAAGAGATCTCACCACTCTTAACTAATTTACTATATTAACTTATTTTTGTTCTTACAAGTGAGGTACATTTCTGTTTTAAAATTAATTTTCAAGCTCTTAATTATATGCTCTTTATTCTTGAGAAAGTCTATTCCCATCATTAAGCCCTCAGGAGGAAAGTCAAACTATTTGGAAATGGACCTATTTGCAAATGGTCTTCATATATACCTGCATGAAGGACTATAATAAATATAATCAAGTTTAAAACAGTTTATATAACAATGATCCAATCGTTCCATTGTCTCTCTTTCCTTTTGATTGTCATAACCATTATCAAACGTCTCTGTCTAGTTCAACACAGACACTTAACAGTAGTATGTCCTTTATGAATGATTTAATTTACTGACATAACAGGTATACTGATAATGTCAGGGGAAAAGGCTAACAAGGTGACTCAGGGTTACATTTTTCAGACATAATATTTTGAACTATATATTAAAGTTTCTTCCCTGAAAAAAAAAATTTTTTTAAGATAAAAGTTTCCTTAACTAAGGCAACAGAGCAGCAAAGGGGAATAACAAAAATAGACTCTGGGGCCAGGGCATGGCAACAATCAGACCTGAAACTATTCATAGGCTTTTCTCTTTTGTTGTTGCTTTTGTGCTTATTATTGTCTATGCATGTCTATCTACATAGATAAGCGGGACAAACCATCGAGAGGAGAAAACAACCGGACTGACAGTTCCAGGAGGGGCACAGGACTGAGGGAGGCAGGGGAAAAGAAGTGGGTGCTAACAAACCCAGGGAAAAAGAAACAAGTGATCTAAAATCGATAGCAAGGAGGGCATAGGATGCCTGGTGGGGCTTGATCAAGGGCAATGTATCCAAGAGGAATGACTGAGACCCAAATGAAGGCTAAATATGATAGTGGCACAAGAGGCAAGTCAAAGGAAATAGAGGAAAGAACTAGGAGGCAAAGGGCATTTATAAAGGTCTAACAGGCATGTACATATGTAAATATATTTATATATAACAATAGGGAAATAGATCTATGAGCATACATTTATATGTTAAGTATTAAGGTAGCAGACGGACACTGGGACTCTATTCAAGTACTCCCTCAACCCAAAAACACTTCGCTCTAAAAACCTGGCATTCTGTGATGCTCAGGCTTCCTGACACAATTGCTGAAGACAAAATGAATGGGTGCACAGCAAATGTGGTGAAGAAAGCAGATGGTGTCCAGCTATCAAAAGATAAAGCATCTGGGGTCTTAAAGGCTTGAAGATCAACAAGTGGCCATCTAGCTGTGAAGCAACAAAGTCCACATGGAAGAAGCATACCTGCCTGTTTGATCATATCAATGTGAATGAAGGGGAGTGTGGAGCAGAGACCCAAAGCCCATCTGTACACAACTGGACAACCCTTTACAGAAGATTCACAAGGAAGAGACCAGCCAGTCAGGGTGCAGTATAGTACTAATGAAACATACAACTTTCCTCTAGTCCTTTAATGCTTGCCCTCCTCCCCAAGCACCCCCCCCCCCACTATCATGACCCCAATCCTACCTTACAAATCTGGCTAGACCAGAGCATGTACACAGGTATAGACAAGAGCTAGAAACAAAGGGGATCCAAGACAGATAACCCCCTCAGGCCCAATAATGAGAGTAGTAATACCTGGAGGGTAAAGGGAAGGTGAGGGTGAGAAAGGGAGAACCGACCACAATGACCAACATATAACCCCCTCCCAGGGGTACCGAGAACAGAAAAGTGGGTGAAGGGAGACATCGTCAGTGTACGGCATGAAAAAATAATAATAATTTATAAATTACCGTGGGTTCATGAGGGAGGCGGGGTGGGGGAGGGAAGGACGGAAAAATGAGGAGCTGATAACAAGGGCTCAAGTAGAAAGAAAATGTTTTGAAAAGGATGATGGCAACAAATGTACATGAAGGATGTATGTATGGATTGTGATAAGAGCTGTATAAGCACCCAATAAAATGATTTTTAAAAAGGGAAAAAAAGTTCACTTACTAGAGACACAGCCTAACCAACTAGCTACTTGAACTGAATGACATGTGTCGGGAGGTCATAATGAAGTCATTACAACTTATGAAATACGGTAAATATCCCAAGAAGTTCCAGCAATGTTCAATGGAGAGGAAAAGATCTTTTAGATTTTAACAACAGATAACAAATTCATAAATCATTTAAAAAATATTACTGATGTACCTTTGCTGAACTATCAAGTCTTATTACCCCAAAATCACAGTGTCTCCATCTGTTAATGTGACAAGAACAAGCTGATAAATGAAATCAGAAAAACAGTGTGTTTTGGCAAAACTAGAAACTTCCCGAAATCCTAGAAAAATATGTCCACAACAGATGGATCATTTGGAAAATAAACACATCAATCTGTCAAACTGAGTATTAGTCTAATTCTCTAAATTAAAAGCAGTAAGAGCACCACTGTCCAAAGGTCTGTGGGATTAGGAAGGCCAAAGAGAAAAACCCTAAAGATGCACATAAATGTACTATATGACCCACAATGTCATACTGTTACATTTCCTGTTAAACATGCTATATCCACGTAAAGTCCTTACCAGTTAACTTCTTCACAGGTTGAAGCCGAACACTGATAGACTGATGTGTGAGTAAAGGGGAGGATGGAAGAGAGCGAGACATGCCCTCCATAATCCGAATGTGCTGCATACCTTCACTCACTGGAAGTGGTGGGACGGCGTAGTCTGGCTCAAAAGCACAATCGCTTTCTGTGGAGATGCCACCTGTCAAGAAAAAAAAAGACCTGGTGAGAAAAGATTCTTCCTACCCTATTCAAATTGATCTTTTAGAACAATGCAGAACAGCACAGGCTGACACTGTTTGTCACTGTGGAAGCCCAATAAGGCATTTTAAGCACATTTATTCATTTCTACACTTCCCGAGTACTTTACCCCAGGTTACGAAAAACAACAACAAAATGTACTGTCATTCAGTTGGTTCCTACTTACAGCCGCCCCACAGGTTATAATATAGTACTGGTTCTCAGTGTTTTTCTCTTGATGGAACAAAGGTAAAAGAAGATATTCGATTGCTTGACACATCATTACGTGCAATATCTAGTAAGATAATTGCAGCTCTATTTCTTACCATCCTATGAAAGTATGTAAAAATGCAAGCAGGTAAGACATTTTTATATGGTGATTCTTGGATTTGCTCTAAGTTTATAAAAATAGCAAATTATATGTTGTTCACTTGAACTTTGGGTAATGGCAGGTTATGTAATTAAGAGCAACTTTCCCCAGAGCAATTCTAGAACTATCTATGTTCCAGACTGGAGAGTACATAGTATAATGAAGAATTAAAGGAAAAGAGTGTAGCCTGGCACTGGGGCTACTTCTTACTTAGTGGTGCATGAGAAACCAAGAAGCTACTGGCAGTCTTATAGTGTTATCAGTAGAAATACGAGTATCAGAATCTATGGCCCCTCTAAGGGATGGACAGGGTACTGGTAAAACACCAATACTTTGGTTGAGAATCTCCCACCCTGCAAAGGAATGCATTCTAGAAATAAGAAATGAAAGTTGACTGGACCTCACAGAAATCGAAGCCTGGGCCCATGTGCCTCCTACAAATTAAATTAAGGTGATTCTGATTACAAGTGCCTTCGCAAATCAAGCCTAAATCCTTATAGAGAAAGAGAACATCATCACAGGCCTCAAATTATTTCTTTAATTTTTCATATAAAATGCCTGGTTTTTAAAAACAATAAAGACAAGATGACATGAATAAAGTAAAATACAGAAACCATAAAACAGAGACAGACTCACAGGGCAAACCAGTAGTGGATGAGGTACAGAAATTAAAACTGCAGGTTCAATATGTTCAAAAATATTTAGAATTTTCACAGAAAACTGGAATTTTGAAATTAAATCCCCAAAATATAGATTTAAAGGCAGATTAGATAAAATAAAAAGGAAAAATAGTAAACTGCAAGATATACCAAAAGAAAACCTTAAAATGATGCATGGAGAATAAAAGAATGGCAAATATGGAAAACAGACATCGGTAGCACAGTAGTTATGTTTTAACATATGAAATGAAGAAGAAATGACAACGGGAAGAAAGCAATATTTGAAGATATAACGGCTGAGAATTTTCCAAAACTGATGAAAACAAATCAAGACAAATTCAAAAAAGCCCTATCAATCCGAAGCAAGATGAATAAAACAAATATACGATATTAAACCTCTTGGGACACTTAAAGCAGATAAATTCTTGAAAGCAGACAAAGGATTAAGACATACATTGTTTGTTATTGTGGTAAAAAAATACACAACAAAGCATTCACCAGTTCAAAAATGTCTACATGTAAAATTCAGTGAGCACTGATTGTTTTTCATATTGTACAATGTTTTTCGAAAATCACAGATTACATTTTAACCAGCTCGTTTCTTTTTTTCTTAAATCATTTTATTGGGGGCTCGTACAACTCTTATCACAATCCATACATACATCCATTGTGTCAAGCACATTTGTACATTTGTTGCCATCATTCTCAAGACATTTGCTTTCTACTTGAACCAGCTCATTTCTCAAATAAAAATTTTACCAAGATTTGTCTTAAATATTTCCTTCTCACTAATCTCTGAGCCCTTTCTTTTACTATGTTGATTAATCTTTCTCTTTCAATTGTCTTTTCTCTTTCTGGGACTCTCACCAGAAGAATACCTTATCTCCTAAATCTGCTTTCCAAATCTCTTTCCTCTCACACATTTCTAATCTTTTGGCTCTAATGAATTATCATCAGATTAAACAAGAGGCATACCATTAGTATAATTCCTTAATTGAATTCATTATTGACAAAAATCAGCATTATATCAAGAGCAAGCAATATATTTATAAAAATGCATTTTATTTAATAAAACAACACTTTTTACTAAAAATGTTCCAATATTAAAACTTAGCTGGTAATTTTAGAATGTAATAATACTCCTTAAGGAATAATACTGCAATTAATCCAGTTTGGCTGTCCTACTTTACTTTTCTACTTAACATTTTCTTCCATCTTCTCTGTCCTATAATTTGTGCTTGAACTCATTGTAGCTGTAAGTACAAAAACTGTATGCTTCAGTAAAGAAACATAATATAGAATGTAAATGTATATTGTCAGTGGTTTACAGTTACATTTAGGCTCATGGGTCTGTAGACTGATTGTGAGTCAGCTGGAAAGGCGAGGCTGAATAACCGATTTAACAACTCTATGTGTCTTCAATACTGTTGGTCCTACTCACTGAAGAGGCAGTTAGGGGTATGCTTTTCTCATGCTGGATAACAGGAATGGAAAGGTCATGCCAACCCGGAAGAACACATTTAAGACCTCTGTTAACTAACCTCCCACTGGTCCATGCAGGTCATAGAAGCAAAAATGACACTAAAATCCAATTCTAGTGTGACTACAAAATCCATATCAGAAGGAATGGATTTCTAATTTTAGAGCAGGAAGGAAGTGAAAAATTGGGAATAAACTAATTTATGAAGCAGGCAAGACAACATTTACTGCTACTGCAAATGACTCAATATTTTCCACCTTTCTTTTTCTTATCATTCCTCCTTCAATTAATTAAATAAAAAGTTACTAAGATACTGTGATTCAGGTATGTTGTTGTTAGGTGCCTTCAAGTTGGATCCAATTCAGAGTGACCCTATGTAGCATTCAATTTATATATCATTTGCTTTAGTGGTTGGAGCATAAATTTGAATAACAATCGTACTAACTGGATGTTCTTGAATACGGCCCTATCATAGACAGCATTGTAATTGTAGATTCTGAAATGTCCTCTTTGACAATGAGTGGGATACCATTCCTCTTGAATGCAATCCCTGACATAGTAAACCATAGGATTGTCTGATTCAAAACAGTCAATACTAGTGCAATTCAGCTCATTAATGCCTATAATAATGACCTCTATGCATCCTATTTTATTTTTCAAAATTCCTAATTTTCCTAGACTCATACACTGTACATTCCAAGTTATGATTACTAATTGATGTTTGCAGCTGTTTCTTCTCATTTTGAGTTATGCCCCAGGAGCTCCATCCAAGTGGTGAAACACAGATGGTAACCAGACATTAAAGTTCAAGTCAACACAACTATAAATAATCCCAAACAAAACCTTCCCCCCTTGCTATATTCCTAGCACCTAGAAAAGTGCCTGGCCTATAGTAGGTGTTTAATCAATGTTTCTTGAATGTATGAGACAGAAACATTAGGGCCATGTGAATGCCCTTGGATAAATCATAAATAAAACTTATAAATCAAATATTTCTAGCACAGCATGTTCATTTTATAACTTATTGAACTGCATATGTAAGACATGTGTATTTTTAATACTGCATATTATGTTTCAATAACATTTATTTTTAAAATATACAAGAGAAGGAACTAAACCACCACCACCACCACCACAAAAACCAACATGATAAATTAGTCCTTTAAGTCAAAGAGCTTTTACATGTTTCAGAAACAAAGGTCTGAATTATTTTGAAGGTCCTTTAACTCAAGGTTACACCACATTGTGCCTATGTACAGTTTTCTAACTCTGTAACATTGGTTTTGTTACAAGAAATCCACAGGTCAAGAAGGATCTAAACCCAGAAGTGTTTATTAACTAAAACAGGATCATGTAGAAAGACAACATGATTACCTATATAGAAAATTCCAAGGAATTAACAACAAAAAAGCTACTACAGAAATGGAATTAGGCAAAATTTATAGGGCACAAAAGTCAAGCGTACTTTTATATTATCACAATGAACACCTGAAAAATGTAACTTTAAAAAATCAGCACCACTGTTGTTGTGTGCCATCAAGTCACTTCCCATTAGCTTCCCTGCAGGGTTTCCTAAACTGTCATCTTTAGAGAGGCGGGTCACCACTCTCTTCTTCCCCAGATCAACAGGTGGGTTCAAATTACCAGCCTCTAGAGCCCTTAACCAGGGCTCCCTACAACGATTTAGAAATGAATCTAATGAAGTATGTACAATAGTTGTATGCTGAAAACTACAAAGCACTGAAGAGCTCATTCAAAGATATAAATAGTGTTATATATCAAGTTCATGGTTGGATCTGAAGATTCCAAACTGTTCTCCTCAAAGTGGTTGATCTATTGGTTTGAATTAATCCCAATCAAATTAAGTATTCTTTTAAAAAAAGAAATCAAGAAAATACTCTAAAAATTCATGTAAAAATGGGCCATAGATATAAATGTAATACCTAAAGCTACAAAATTTCTAGAAAACATAACAGAAAATCTTTGAAACCTTGGTTTAGACAAATAATTCTCACAAAAGACCCCAAATTTATGAACTATGAAAAGATTGATAAACTAGACTATCAAAATTAAAATTTTCTTCCTTTCAAGAGATGGTATTACAAAATGACCATCACAAGTTAAGATAAAATATTTTCTTTTTTTTTTTTTGAGATAAAATATTTTCAAACCATATATATGATACAGAACTGGTATCTATACTAGAAAGAACTCAACTGTAACAAGAAGGAAAATATATATGCAGAACAAAAAGATTTGAATAAATACTTCACTAAGTACAGTTATGGAATATCCGCTAAACACATAGAAAGATATTTGTTACTTATTGAGAAAAAGCAAATTAAAAGATATTACTACACATCTGGAGAAATAGCTAAAAAGTGTCTTAATGGAAAGGCTAGCAGTTCCAACTTCCCCAGTGGCTTCATGGGACACAAACCTAACATTTGCTT